CTCAGCCGACCTTTATACACGGCATCTTTCAGCCGCCGCCACGTTTTCCACCGCTGCCAGAGAAATTGAACATCGGTGAGTATATCAAGGACTATCCAGCTAAGGCTACGCCAAAGATCGAACTCTTTCCGAATATACTCAATGCGGTGAGTCGAAATTATTACCCCACGCCCACCACTTACCGACCGAGTTATCAATCGAAGTTTCCACGCCCGGAGTTGTATACACCCATCCAACACCAGGAGCCGCTGAAATTCCCACAGAACTCACAGGAAAACGGCGTAGATGTGGGCGGTGGAGTTAGCAAACTATCGACACCTGTGGTGACGCATCATTTCCATCATCATTTCTATATGCCAAGCACTACAAGCAACGAAAACGGACTTGGCAGCGCTGAGCAGACCATCATTAAGCCGACGAATCCATATAAAGGTGTAACGGTCGAAGCCACCTCCCCCAACTACATAAATAACTACTACAAGGAACGTGTGAAAATGAGCATCCCAGTGGGCACGCTGCAGTCACAAAAGCCCATAAATTTCCCTAATTCCGAGATGGAAGTGCATAGAGAGCAAATGGTGCAAGTGACGCCGGTGCCGCCACTAAGGCGTCCACAAATTTACCAAATGTATCAGATACCAATTGATGCTAAAGTGCCGCTACTCATTTACCCAGCGCCTGTGGTGGAAGAGCAACCCACGCTGCAGCGCAGTAAACCCTTCATACAGAGCGAGCCGATGGATGATGAGCCCATACGCTATTCCGAACCTGATCCACTCTACCTGAATCTCGCGCACAACCCACCACTCGACGGACAATCTTACGAACTAGGCGCGTCACAACTGGAAGCCCCGAAAATTAACCACTTTGAGGATTACGCTAATATCCGTATCAGCACTGTTTCGAGCAGAAAAAATGCCAAGCCAGATTCGATAGCTGCGCAATTACCGCCACCTGATAATGACCAGGATGTGAGTATACCCTACGAGGATGAAACCCAGGAGGATAGTAAACCCAAGCATGACCTCGAGCAGAAGCCAAGCCAAAAGGATGTGCAGATCTCGATTAAACAGAAAACAAATCTTACCGCAAGCACTAAAGCGACAAGGGAAAGCACGAGTGACAGCCTTTTAGAAACCGCCACCAACGCAACAGCGGCACCAACAACAACCACAACCGTGGCCACCACAACAGAACTATTTACAACCAGCAGTCAACTGGAAACAATAAAGACCTCCTCGTCCACCGTCCAAACTAACACTTTACCCACTACGAATTCGCTGCTCTCAGCCACAACTGCTGTGCCGTCAACGACTTCCATCGACGCTGCCACCTTGTTCACCAAACCGAGTACATCGAACTTCATTTCCACCTCCACATCTGAGACACCTTCGCTACGCGCGATTAGCCGTTATCGCTTAAAGCATGCGCGTGCCTCCACAACCACTACCGAGCAGCCGGTGCTGAAATGGAAACCAAGGCGCAAACATTCTTTTAACAACAAGCCTACGTCAAGTACAAGCGCGAAGCCAAATACCGAGGCGGAAGAGACAACTCAAACGGCAACGGTTAAAAAAGAACAACGACTGGAGACGAAAGATGTCCGTTATCAAAGACAAGAAAAGCACTTGCCTGCAATCGCGAACTCAACCAAAACTGGCAATGACACCTTGCTCTCAACGAAAAGTAATGAGGTTTTCGAAGTGCTCACACAAAAATCGGTTAGCAAATCGGTGAGCATCAAGATTGGTGATAATGGTGAGGAGATTCCTGTCATAATTGACGACAGTGACTATGGCGAAAACGAAGTGAAAACGGATTAATCGCTATACATTTTTTTGCACTGCTATGGGCTTTAGAATACCAAAAAATTGTTATTTTGTTATTGTAAATAAAATTGAAAAACATAGTTTGTAAGTTTTTTGTGAGTGTACATTATTATAGAAGGATAAATTGTATTTTTTAATCGAATAACAAGCTAAAAAAGTTGTGTGTTCAAACTTTTACTTAAAAAGTAAACAACTTTCATTGGGGGTTTTTAAAGGTAACATTCGTTGTTTCCATATATTTTAAATTTGCAGGTGCAGATCCTTCGTACGTAGATCCAGGATTAGTGGTTTTAGAATCCCTGTTATAAGAGCTGGTTAGTTACAGGCAAAGTAATCAACAGGCTCCTTGGAGCCCGGGTACGACAGAAACTGATGAAATGTATGCCGATTCTTTCGGCACGGACACCCTCGGACAGACAGCCTTGACTTTATATATAGTTATATTAATAAAGAATGCCCTAACTCACTTTCTTTTGAAAATCAGCTTTGAACAACGGTTTGTAGATTACTCAAAGCCTAATAATAATAATAATAATAATAGATTGGCGCTTACACATATGTTAGTGTTTGGCCGAGCTTCTCCTCCGATTTGTGGCGTGCGCCTTGATGTTGTCACACAAAGCGGAGGGACCTACAGTTTTACGCCGACTCCGAACGGCGATTGTATTTTTATGAGAAGCTGTTTTTCATGGCAGAAATACACTCGGAGGTTTGCCATTGCCTGCCGAGGGACGACCGCTGTTAAGAAAAAACCTTTTTTCTATATTTTTGCGATGTTGCTTTGACCAGGGTTTGAACCCAGGCATTGTGGAGTGGAAGCGCGCACTGCTTACCACTACACCACAGCGGCCGTCGAAAGCCTAATAGAATTTAAAAATATCTGCTACATAGATAAATTATTTTCAGTGTTTATTATAACCCAGATTTTGAAGAAATCCCCAACCTAAGAACTTTAGTTTTTATAAAGTTTAGTGACTACTCCGTAAATACAGAAAAAATTGGGCCTTTTTATATGTGTTTTCCAGATCTACCTGATAATCATGTAAGTTCCTGTGCAGCTCAGCCTCTGCTTAGCCTTTTTGCCACAATAAATTTGCTTCAGATTTTCCTGGCCCCATGTGACCGAATAGCCCGCTTTTCCACTTCCGTAAATTTCACAAGCTGATTGGGATTATTACAGCCAAATTTTGAATTAAAAAAGTGCATCGGAACTAAATCGAGTAGGCTCCATTGTGCAGGATTTCATTGCACCCTTTGTCCGAACAGTTGACCTTTGAACTCCTTTGAGATTTTTTAATCACATCAGGAAGGGCTAGTGCTGGAAGATACATCGATGTAATATCGATACATCTATGTTTTTGAATTTATTTCAAACATCGATGTTTTTTTCGATGCTCGATGTTTTTCTCTATAACTATCACATATGTAAGTGAAAATCGACGAGCACAATTTTAATAGATAAATAAAGCTTATTAAATGCAATTTATTACGTCTTTAGGTTGTTGGTGTTGGCACAACTTGAAATCTTTAAATCGCACTCTTCTTTGTAGGAGTGTTTTCAATGAAAATCTTTCATCTTATGTATGTATGTGTGTATATAAATGTGTTTTTGAACGTAGATAGATTCCAAAAATACGAATTCTATTTTACTGAAATCTTAATATGAGTTATTAAGAAATTGACAAATTGAAATTTACAAGACTTTTAATAAATTATCAGCAATAGATGTAAATGGCTGTGTTTATAAACAAAATAATGCAAAATATCGCAAAAATCAAAGTCCAAATTGAACTCATTTATCTTGAATAGTTGTGAAATTAAAGAGACTGACGGTTTGCATATCTGCATTAATGAATTCAGCCAACATTTAAAAAATTCGCCATTTAAAAAGGTCGATGCATCGATAGATCAATGTTGCTCCCCAAAAAACATCGACGTTTTTCCAGCACTAGTAAGGGCTAAACAATAGACCACCGTTCTATATGAGAGTATGATTAGGACTATAGCAATGTGTCATCATACTTGTGGCTGCATTAAGGACAACCTTCATAAGTCCATCTGACAAATAGAATGTATGCATATGTTGAAATAACTTTGATTTGTGCATAAATCTCAGCTTCAATACCCAAAGTATAAGTGCCATGTATTCTTACGAATGGCATCATCTTCACTTTATGCATTTTTAAAAAAATTATTGTAGGCACAACTTTTTCATTATTAACCGACTTCAAAAAAATGTATGTATGTTACCGCATAACTTTGGACCACGTAAACCGATTTAGATAATACTTTTTTCATCGGAAAGCTGGTACCTCAAGGATACTATAACATACTAGTTTTATTTAGATCCGATAATTGGATCGTGAAGAAATTATCGATAATCTTAAATTTTTATTAACATTATTTTTTATTAAATTTTTTTCTTAAAAATTGCTTGTTTTCTTTTTAATTAATAATTTTCCGACTGATATGAAATGTACGCAATACTTCATTTTGCAATGGGATTCTCCTGCTGTTAGACGTGGCAAGTGCCAGTCCTTTTCAAGAGTCTGTCAAACTCAAGAATTTCCAAAAGATATTGCAGGATCAGTTACACTTTGCATGTAAAGAGGCTTTCAAGAACAGTTTTTATTTCTAATGACCTGAAAAATTTACTAAACCTGCAAATGTGCACGAAACAGTCACAAAATATCTAATATTAAAATACTCCATATCAGTAGTTACACATATTTTTCATAGTCTATTCAACATTTTTATAACTTTAGTCGCCAAAAAAAGCGTCACATGGCAACACTCGATTGGTTTGACAGCACATGCAGCAAAAATGAAATTCCTGGTGCAGCACGAGCAGGTTGAAATTATTTCTCTAAAGCGATTTGCGTAATTTCAGTTGCAGTTACACTTTGAAATTTTTATTTCCGAAGGTGATTTCTGAAAAAGGACTTTCTGGCTGTTCACATGGGACTTTAGTTTTAGCATTTTGACAGCAAAATGTGTAGAAAACCGTTTGCATTGCCACGTTTAACCGCACCTTAATTCTAATTTAAAACCACAAAAATATTTATAACGACCCATTTTATGAATAGTGGTTTATACGAGCTTTAAAGCAATTACGAATACAAAAATTTGCATTTGACAAAAATAATCTTTTAACCATATTTTTTTACTCACCTGCATCTTCGGAAGCATATTTGTAGTTGGGTTGCGGTGCAACAGGTATAAGCTTAGCATAAGCCTCAGGCATCATTTCCACAATGCGTTGATGATAAGATAATCTGCAAACAATTAATTAATTAAGCAATCTAGGTTTTCTTTATTTGACCGCAGTTCATACCTTAAACACTTATGCAATACTTCTTGTATAAATTTGGGGCGTGGATGTTCTGGGTCTAATAGTAAACAACTATCCCACTCTTCCCACGACCAAGTGAATTTGAAGTTGCTCAAATGATAAGAAAACCAATTAACGAAGCGGTCGAAACAAGAAGTATTCATGGAATCTATGCGCATGAATAGAATTTCAGTTGCTTGAGCGAGCACTTGCGGCAATGTTGCCGGTTGTAATTTACACAATTCAATAAGTATTGAACCATAAACGATTTCCAAATAACGTGGTGTCGGCATATGGAATATTTCTGCAAATACAACCTCTACGATGCAGTATTCGAGCGGTATTTTGTTTTTGTAAGGGAACGCTAGCAGTTGTGCTGCACAATCTTTCCGTTCCAAACGATGCGTTTCGATGATGTGGTGCAGGTGCTCTTCGATTAAGAAGCGCTCAATGGAATGCGCACCTGGCAAATTGGGACCATCGGGGCAATCAGTATAATCAAACATGCGATAAACCACCCAAGGCATTGGATAATCGTATGACTCATGATGTGATGGTGGCACAATGGGTGGCAAATTATGTTGCAGTGCTTCACATAAAATCGAATCAAAGGCCAGGTAAGGACGTGGAATGTGTTTTTCAGCCCAATTATCTTGACGCAACTTACGTATTTGCGCCCATAAGCAATCCAAGTATTCCTCTTGCGGATGTGGTGCATCGACCGACCACACACGTAGAGCATTGTGGTGTTTCTTTGAACGCTTGTTTAAATAAACTTCAATGCGCAACAGCAATGATTCTAACGACGACTCTTTCTTTTCATACAAGTCGCGACCTACCCATGGTAACGTGGAGAGCACTGAAAAAACGAACCAGTCACGACGCACTTGTGGTACTGTATCTTCGTTAGAAACATCGATCATTGTGTCTAGAAGCTGCAGAAGACTTGTTGCTGAGATGACGTGACAATTCACTAGATCAGCAAGAAAACGGAGCGAGTAACGTGCAGCATCCCACCAGCACATTTTCAAGGCTTCTTTAAATGTCTTCACCATGTGGTCTACGAACTCACCGCCAAATTTGTAGTTTTTTGCATTTAATAAGCCCACTAAGGTTGTGTAAATGGTACACTTTTCCGGCATTTTTATTGCACAATCCGAGAGAATACGTAGAATTTTTAGACGAAAAGTGCCCAAGTCTGCCTCCAAAACGGAAACTAAACCTTCCAAATTCGATTCTACCGAAGAGGTGCTACGTTCACCGACGCGTAAAATTAGTGACTCCAAACGATCTTCAATTTCCTGATTTTCAGAAACGCGCCTACGTTTTCGATTGCGATGATCTAAAAATTTTGGTGTAATTAAAATTGGAAAACCGCATATACATCGGGGTGCACTGTCGTAGGATGCCATTTGCACCATTACTTACCGTAGCCCTCTTCATCGCCATCATGCGGACGTCTGCGATTCATTGCTGCTTACTTTGGTGATAAAATGAAATAAAATTATTTGGCACTTGTAGTGTTTTTATAACAAATTCCAATATGCAAAATTACACACGAATTGGTAGAAAATCCGCGTACGCGTTTTGTCAGACGCTGTCAAATATTAATTTATTTGACATTTCGCCGGTACGGCATTGCCATTCGGAAAAATGTTACAACCATTCACAATATCGATAAAATGAGTGCATTCAACATTTTATTGTGAACATAATTTCCAGACTGGCATATTCTTCCTTTTGAATTTTACTAACAGGTTTTAAAATTACTTCCGCTTTTTTTTTTTAATGAGGGAAATAGGAACCATTATACAAGTGGCTCTTGGTTAGAAAGATTACTGCGGGTGTTAAAACGCCTTTGTCACATTTTCGAAGAAAATTAATTACTCGATTAAATTTGCAAATAAAACGAGGTAACTAATTTTAGAAAACTGTTCATTCATATTCAGCGTCTAATTAAAAATAATTAGCTATATATAATTTGCGGACGTGCTAGAGAGAAGACACACTATCCAATTCCGCGAGTAATTTGGGTAATTATCATTTCTATATCAGAAAATAATGCCAAATTTGTCGTGTCTACCTGGCATTATCATTTCTAAGTACATCGACGTTTCCTAGAGGGAGCAGGTATTTGGAGAGGTAATGCTCTCGGACTCGCTGAGAAAAAGAAATTTCTTCCATTAACTAAACTAAAGACTTTTATTTTGACTCTTTTGTTTTGGCACTTAAATCAATTGTGGTAAAGGAACCCGAAACACTTATGAGTAACACTGCACCCATGTTTACTTTGGGTTATGGTTGTCGATAAGTTACCCAGTGAGTATTCCCTAATGCCCTGAAGAGAAGAGGGTTCCCTCAATAAATTCAATATACTGGAGAACATACAATCTGTTTACCTGTCTGTCTATATTTTACATACATATGTAGGGTGTCGGTAAAAAAATTGGAAGGATAACCAATTAGTGTGGCCAGCGGTGCTTCCCTTGTTTCTCGCCGTCAAGAGTTAAAAAGTACTAAACACTCATATTCGAGCTTCGAAGTCAAGGAACTGATGGCGGCTTGGCTGTATGAAAAGATAACTAAGAAATCATGTTTAAAATTACTTACAAGATTTGTTCTGGCGCAGATCAGGATTGCTAGCACCTCTACATGAAAAACTGTTGGCCATCTTGCCGTTTTCATCGAAAGTTTATCTCCGGGTTCATAAAGACAATGTACACATCTGTAAGCAAGTCGAGGCAGCCAGTTTGCTCAAACTTCTCGTTCTAAGACTTTTATCTTCTGTGCTGATGCTCCTCCTCACGAAGAGTACCGTCAGATATTCGCGGTTGCATCTTTATGTTGTTACCGTTGTAGCAGCATACAAGTTCCCAAAAGAGTTTTTGAGGAGTGTTGCTGGAGTGACAGTCCTTGGCCAGATATAAATCTGGGCCGTTTCGGTTACGTAGACCCGGCTGTCGTGGGAACGCATCTTTATCGAGACTGTTGCTTGAATAAAAATATGAAGCGAAGTCCATGCCAGAAGTGACTCCGAAGTCACCAAGTTTGCATTCAACTTGTAACCGAGATCGAAGTCAAGGTTTGAATTTGAATTAAATGACAGCTTTTGGTAATGTTTTTGGCCACCAAACTAGGGAGGAGTATTTACTTTGTTTTTGTCTAATTAGGGGTTACAACTCAGCCAAGATATGTATGGAGGATCATTATCTAGAATACTCCAAGAGCCCTCATCGGATGTTTTCATTGTCTATGCTTTTGCGCCATTTACCAGAATGGGCATGATGAGTGACTCTACTTCTGCGTACTCAGTCCAAAGTAGCACTTGTTCGAAAGAGTGATTCTTCGTTGAATTTCATGGCTGACATTATTATTGGTGTTAATGCTTGTAACTGTGAACAATCACGTGGGTGCAGATACGATTATGCTCTGACTGTTTGTCTAATGACAGGATATACTTCGATTTGTCCTCTTTCACCACCAGACCTTCGCGCTTTACATCTCTATACAATTCTGAGAAGGCAGAACTGACGTAGCCCTTGCTTTTACCGACAATGCCGAAATTGTATAAAATTGTACTTGAGCGGTTCAATGATGTGGCTCTTATTATCTTCTCCAACATCAGATTAAAGAAATTAAACGAAAGGGGGTCACCTTGTCTGAAACCACATTTGGTATCAAACAGCCGTATTATTTTAGCGGGGATACAATTCCGACATCGCGACATAGAGGCTGCCTGCATATTTTTATTCATTCTGAACGTTTGGAATAAACTTTTTTGTTTACTTATTCTTTAGAACGTTCCGGATGATATGATAACGTATGTATATTTCAAACGCATTCAGTTTATTCTGGCTGTGGTTTTCGGCCCTGTTGATGAATCTTTGTATGCTGGAATCTTGTACCACATACTACCATATTTCGGGCCCCGGCGAGGTCGATCAGCCTCAGTTCGTTATGACAAGATTCGTTTCGTGATAGTTTCTGAAAAATTATTTAGTAATTCCAATTGTTTTTGGTTTTTTAATGGAAAAATTAAAAAAATTCAAACTTTAACAGAGGAAAAATAAAAAAATAATGACTGTATTTTTTAATTTGTTTTTCTTTTTGTTAATGTATTTCTCAGAAACTATCAGGCCTTACGGCTTATTTCATATTTTTAATTTGTTTTTCTTTTTGTTAATGAATTTCTCAGAAACTATCAGGCCTAACGGCTTATTTCATTGGCTTTTATTTGTCGTATTTCGTTTTACGATTGTCAAAATGGTTCGTAAGATATACGTGGTTACGTGGAACCACTATATTTTTAAGCTAAATAACGGTAAATTGAAAATATCTCGGAAACGTATCCATATACACAAAATTAACTCGATTTACAGAATCATCGAGCAATTCTACATAGGAATTGGATAGTGGCATCCATAGAATATTTTTGCTGTAAACCAGTGAAATTTATAATAGCTTATTTATCTTGTATGTCTAATAAAACTACCTAATACCTACATTTTCTAAAACTTTAGTGGTATTTTCCATTTTTGTATTTTATAAAATTTTCTTTCGGATTTAAACAACAGCTGTTATTTCAAATTGACTTGTTACACTTTTGTGCCCGGAAGAAAGGCCGGGCTGTTTCGGGCACGACGAAGAAGACATTTACGACACAAACGGGGAACGTATTCGCTCTTTTTTACCCATTTTTCTAGCGTGAGGAATGCTTTCTGGGCTGTTTTGGGCACCCGCGGGATCCTGCGGATCTTGACCAACATATCAGTATTTCCAATACTTATTCTAATGCGATGGGAGTATGTTGTTTAAGTCAATGACGAAAAACAACAATACCACAGAATACCCCATGATACAAAAAAGAAGGTAGTTTCAATAAACAACTTTTGACGGATAATAAAATTTTTTGAAGTTTCATAAATTGTCAGTATTATCAACGGCCTTGCCACTTTGATAATATTAAAACAATACATCGGAGTATTTTCTTTCCCATATTTTTACCAATGTGAGAATATTTCAAATCAAAACTCACAATCAGTACTTGATATTTTTTTACTTACGTGGTTTGCCCCTCTTTTATTAAAAATATATAAAATGTAAACTGTTACATTGTAATTATTCTTTTTATTTTATAATAAAAACCATTAGTGCATTATGTTGTTATTTTTTTCATTTTCTTATTTTGATATACAATTTTCGTTTCTTTAATCTTGCGATTTAAAAATCGAATTCTAAAGAATGTTCTTCCCAAATAAAATCTTTTTATAATATTTTGGTCCAAATTTACTTTTAAATTTCTCATCAGATTTTGCAAAAATTTTGGCTTTGTGGTTAGCGAATCACCATTAATTTCAACAAATTTTGAATTCAAAATTTCCAATGTATGCAAAAAACTTGAATTAGGCTTGTACAGACCGCCCTCCGATAAACAGTTAACATACGTATAATTTTGATCACTTTCTACATGCGTCCTGAAGCCTAGTTTTGTCAACCCCATTTTCGAAATTATGTAGCCGGCAAAATTTTCAAGTCCATCATATTCCACATCTTTGAGTGGACTGATGAAATCTTCTGCTTCATGCTCTTCTGCGAGCTACTTAAAAAAATTAGAAATCAAATAAAAACGAAAGGGTAAGGAGTTTACCTCGAGTTCTTCTTCTGCGGATATTTCAATATCGTTAAGTGGTTTGAAAACATTTTCACTGAGCAACTCCTCTTCAAATTTTAACATTACTTCACTTGAAGACTCAACATTTGTTTCCGTGCTCAAAATAGTTTCGTTTCGCCCTAATAAAGTTCAAGCATACATTTTAGAATCTTTATGACAACAACAATAATTTATTTAAGTGGTTAAAAAATTACCTAGAAGGTATGATCGAAATCTGTACTTGAATTCGAGAGGTGACGGATGGTCATGCAGCCCTCCTTTCATATATGTTCAATAACTTCACTAAACTTCACTCATTTTCATACATTTTTGTTTACTTTTACAAAAAAAAAAAAAATATTATCTCTGGTGATCAGGTAGCATGAATTTTATGAAATGTCATAATTTTATTAAAAGTCAAATGGTTAACAACAACAACGAATGTCATTAAATGGAACTACCTTCGTTTTTGTATCATGGAATACCCTATACAAAAAAATAGTTTTTTTCATGTAGTTTCGCATCGTAAATTTGTCATCTACTTTCACATCATTTAATAGATATTTAAGACATAATATTAAATACTCGAACTCTCCGGTTTTTTGTATACATCTATATGTGTATATGAAAGTGTTTTACCTAAAATTTAATCCGATTCCAACTCGTGCGTGCAAGTAAGCAAATTTTCGATTTTTTCATAGAAAGCCTTCATCACTCGCTAAACCTCCAACCACGTACATATCTATTAAAGGATATTTGGGAATGCAAACACTTGTGCGCACAACAAAAAAGAAAATGCAAAAAGAAGCCATGCAAATCGAGGTTTTCCTGCGCACACACTTAACAAATCGAATAACATCAAATCAATTGTTGGCAAATTGCATAGCTAACACCAATCTGTATCCACAGACGTTGGTAAATACTTGATTGTGTACGCGTAACTGAC